GATCTTGGGGATGAATAAGAAAGGAAGGGTTATGGCTTAAAAGTGATAACTTGAGTGTCAAGCTGACAAGGGGTCAGTTGTACTGGCTGGTTTTGTGTCCACTTGACACAAATGAGTCATCAGAGAGGAAGGAACCTCAGTTGAAGAAATGCCTCCATGAGATCCAGCTGCCATGGAGTTTCACCGCAGCAATAGAAACCCTAACTAATCCAGATCCTTTGCAAACCAAATGTTTGGGATATTAACAAGTCTAATTTTTAATGATTCTTTTTCATTGATTATGGTTTGTTTTGGTGTAATACCTAAGAACTCTTGTATTTAAACCTAAATCTCAAAGTTTTCTTCTTAATAATTAAATTCTTCTCTCCCTCACCCTCCCTCACCAAGTTAAATGGTTTCAGCATTGTTTGTTAATAAGATAACTCTTCTGCCATCTTTTCTTGCCTCTTTGTCTGAGACAGCCTGGCACAGTGTCTGGGCTCATTTCTGCAGCCTTCATTCTGTGCTACTGAGCTGGGTGTCTGCCCACCAGCACCACACTCGGTTGCTGCTGCAGTAAAACAAGTCTTAAAATTAGGTGGCGAGGAGATCCTTCCAATTTTTTTTTTGAGCACCACTTTTAGTGTAACATTGCACGCGCGCGTGCACACACACACACACACACACACCCCAAAACAAAAAACAACAACCACAAAACTTGTGGTTAATAATCTAGGGACACATTCCAGTTTTATATGTCAGATCTGTCCTGTCAAAGTTACACTAAGCGCGTGCATGTAACTATTATAACTCTGAGATTTCATCTTTGAGCCATGTGTAACAACCTCAGAAACTGATGAGTTATTAGCCAGGGTCGGGATGTTGTTTTCTCTGAGGAAGTTCTCTCTGCATGATTCTGTCTGAGTCTTGTGCTCACTTGGCATAGCTGATGGTCCCGTGTGGGCAAGTGATTGATAGAACCCGGTGACAGAACCCGGTGACAGAACCCGGTGACAGAACCCGGTGACAGAACCCGGTGACAGAACCCAGAGGGAGAGCCCTGCTCAGCCAAGGACCTCTCTCAGCATCGGATGGAAGGGGAGGCAGTAGTTGGAGGCAGGAATCCGGTGGAAGCCATTAAGAATCATGGCTAAGAGGGTCCAGGGTGACAGAACGCAGCTCCCCTCCCGTGGGAAAGAGCTGCAGACTCCTAGGGCGGGAAGCTGCTGCTTGCTGGATCCTGGCAGAAGCCCCGGTGCTGTCCCAGGTCCTGAGCAATCTCTGAAGTCCCTGAGAGCTGGCTGCGTCCCTGGCCTCCTGCACAGCCCCTCCACAGCAAGAAAGTGACTCCTCCGCTTAGGATTCACAGAGGGGTCTGGGCAAGAATAGCTTAGCATGCATGGAAGCTGACACTAAGGAGCAGAAGATCACAGGTGGAAAATTTGCCCTGTTGCATGATTTTGGCCAAGAGCAGTATCAGGAGGCCAATACCTGGTCCTTCCTCCTGCTCTTCAACACAGACAGACAGACAGACAGACAGACAGACAGACAGACACAAAGGTTCCGGGGTCAGAGAGGGAGAGTGGGGTTCTCAAAGATAAAGTTTAGCAAGGCTCTTCTGTTGCAACAGCGGTGTTTTTAAAAATTCGTTTACGTGTTTGTTCGTGCATGTATGTGTGTGAGTGCACATGCTGTCCTGGGTCAGCTTCTAATGGTGTTCTTCGGGCACTGCCCACTTCCTTTGACCTGTGACTTAAGGACTAAGCTAGACAGGCTCTGCCTAATGAGCCAGGAACCCATCTGATCCTTCTGTCTCCTCGCCCAGGCTGCGTTTACCGCCCCACACTTAACTTGGTGTTCTCATGTAGGGATCCAAGGCGGGTGTTTATGTTTTCTGGACAAGCACTGTACCACCTAAATACTCCAGAGGTTTCATAGTTTCCGCAGTAATTTCCCAGCTCAATGTTTTCTTCCTCAGGTGGCATGTGGTACGGGGTGGTGGTTGCGGTTTATCAGCTGATGGATGATTGACTTGGGTCTCTTTTGGATTCTTCTTTGGTTTCATTCATCCCAGCCAACAGTGACTCTTTTGGATTCTGTTCCTAAGGCCCAGCAAAGCATCAGAGACCAAGTGCTTAACCACCACCTTTCCAGGGTTTCATTCAGGAGCACACTTGTGAAAGATGTATGGGCGTGAACCTCACAGCTTGGCTTGGGGTCCCCAACAACACCTGAAGGCTGTGTAGCTCTGCTCTGAGCCACCTCGGGAATGTGGCTGCCTGATCTTCCTCCAGAGTGTCTTGTTGAGGGTCCCTCACACAGTGTCTCTTCCTTGTGCCCGAGTGGGCTTTTCTGTGCCTTATTGGCCTAGGACTAAGTCTACAATGCATATACCACTTGATTTTTTCCTTTATCCCAAAAGATAGCCCTTTCCTGGGTCTGGACCCCGAGTTGGAGGGCCTGTGGAAGTGGGAGTCCAGAGTGTGGCGTGGCCTTCTCTGAAGCTGCACAGTCGCCAGAGCGTCATCAGTCTGCGCTGTGGTCTCCGGCGATTGGCTGTTAACAATTGCCATGTGCCATGTACCGCTGCAACTCTTCCTAGCGCTTGACTTAAAAGAAAATCCTCAACCAGGCCTGGCCCAGCATTAGAATTGCCGACACGACCCCCTCGCCTCCTTTGGAGCGAAGGTCAACAAATAATTTTCAGCTTTGTTTGAAGCCTTTTGCATGGAGTCTAGAAAATGCTCTAATTACGAGCGATTATCTGCTGAAGTGCCCACAAGCCCTTTGAAGTATTACTAAGCGTCTCTTGTACCAGTTCACTCTGCTCACAGAGTTCAAGCTGTTGGGGGTGCTTACGAAGGATGAGGCAGCTTTTCTTTCTTGTTTTTTAATCGTGTAATTTGGACCGTTTGCAAGGAAGGCTGGCTCTCTCCTTTGGGTCTGAAACAGGGAGCCTTTGTTTCCTATCCATTTCTGCCCTGTCCCCCAAGTGAGTGAAGCTGTCAGAATGACCTGGAAGTTTCTTTCTGTCCTAGGCATGGTTGCCTTCCAAGGTGAACAGAATGTCCAGATGTTCCTCACCTGTACCCCACGGCGGGACCCACTCAGCACTAGTGACACTGTAGATTGGATCCTCTTTGTGTGGCTGTCATCTGCCCTGAAGGACCTTTGGCTGCAGCCCGAATTTGTACTCGTGGCTGTAAGAACCAAAGGTTTGCAGACTTTTCTGTGTTGCCCAAGGAACAAAAAAAAAAAAAAAAAAAATCACCTGCTGTTGCCAACAGTTGACTCAAACCATTCTGCTCAAACCACACCCATGTGAAGGGAGGGGCCCTGAGGGTTGGGGTGGGGGCCACCTCTTACCTCACATGGGTAGGTTTTGTCAAGTCGACACAAACTAGCATCACCAGAGAAGAGGGAGCTCCGACGGAGGGACTGCCTCCATCAAATTGCTCTGTAGGCAAGACTGGGGATGTTTTCCGTGACCGATAACTGACGGGTGGTGTGGGGCGTCCCAGACCACTGCGGGTGGGGCCACTCCTAGACAGGCAGCCCTGGGCTCTATAAGATATCAGGCTGAGCAAGCTACGGAAGCAAGGCAGCAAGCAGGATTTCCCCACCGTCTGGCTCAGTTCCTGCCTCCAGGTCTGGAGTTCCTGTCCTAACTTCTCTTGACGGCGGCCTATAATCTGCAAAATGAAACGAACCTTTCTCGTCCACGTTGCCATGGCGTTTGTCACAGCATGGGGAGTAACTAACTAGGGCACCTTAGGGACACTGGTGGCCTTCAGGCGGCCTCCAGCTTGCGGGAGGCCCTGCTCTTTCCTCTGTCTGTCTGTCTGTCTGTCTGTGTCTGTCTGTCTGTCTGTCTGTCTGTGTCTGTCTGTCTCTCTTTTCTCTCTCTCTCTTTCTCTCTCTCTCTCTCTCTCTCTCTCTCTCTCTCTCTCTCTCTCTCTCTCTCATCCTGCTGCACCAATGTCCTCACCTCCTTTCTTCTGTCATTGCCATCGCTGTACGGATCCCTCCATCACGTAGAGACACCTCTCTAGGATCTGTGCTCCAAGGTTCTGATCTTCCGCCTCCCTGGAGACGGGCTCTGAAATCACGTCTCCCGGCTTTGGCACAGTCTGTGACTGGGAGACCCTGGGAGGTGGCAGTACAGTGGTCCCAGAGCACCTTTCTGCCTCCCGTGGGCTCCGAACTGTTGAAATGAGGCAGAGACCCACCTGGAAGGGAGGTGCTAGCAGTGACTCACGGCGGAGAGATGTCAGAGCCATCCATATCTTGTTCTCGGTAGAGCCATAGTCCCAAGCAGAGAGTCCTGGACTGGTCGAACCCTGCCCCGCCTCATTTGCAGTGAGACCTCTCATGTAGGTCCGGAAACACCTAAGCAACGTGAAGCATGCTTCTTGAGGGCAGGGCTTTTCAGAGCCTCTCTCCGCCAAGAACTATGATTACTCGCGGGCACAATGGCGTGTGTGACGTTTCTCAAAGCAGTTTGAACCCAGAATCTGTTTCCTTTTCAAGTAGTATCCCCTAGCACTGTTCATGGGACGTCCTTTGGGGAAAAGTGTCACCCGGCAATGACAGTGTTCTCACCCAACTTCTTACTGACCTGACCGGTTCTAAGGTGGCCTTGAAACCAAGAGAGGGGACCCACCTTCCAATATGGGAGTCTAAGACCCTGCTCAGTTGCATGGTTTTGAGTGGGACCCTGGAGGACTGTTGTTTAAGTGACTGGATCCCAAGGCTTGGTGAACGTCTTGCACACTGGCTACACACAGAGTTGGCCATGGGGGTGGAATGGTGGAGGAGATGGGTAGGGGAGACCTGAGGGGCCAGCACACACCCTGATCTTCCTCCAGGGAAACCCTTGAGCAGAGCAGAGGAAGGGGGAAAGCATGGAGAGAAGGAAAGCAGAAGTTTCCATTTGTGCCCAATGGGTTTGTTTCTTTCTTTTTTTTTTTTTTATCTGTTTGCAAATGTTCAGTGTAATGGTTTGAAACCCAGCCGTGAGCTGCCGCCGCCCACACAAAGCTGCCGTGGCGCTGAGCTCCGGCAGGCAAGCCATCTCCCCTGTGTCGGCCATTACCCCGAACCCACACCAGGGCAGGCTGCTCACCACCCCCCAGTGTCCCTCTGCCACCCCCCACCGCCTCGGCACCCCCGACTCCCACCACCCTCCACACACACACCATCCTTCTTTTTTTAAACCTCCAGCACTCGGTTTTCTCTAGAGGAGGAACAGAGAGAAGGCAGAGATGGTACGAGCAGGGAGAATACTCCTGCCTCATCGGAGCCATCAGCTTTCAGGAGAGCGCGGCAGCCCCCCCTGCCTGTGGACTGACCACTGAAAGGTGAGAGAGGACTTTGTGATTTCTTTGTGCACCTGGAGGTCTGGGGTGCAAGACCAGGTGCAGGGCTCCGAGAGCCTGGGCTCTCGCCTCCCAGTAACTGTGAGGCGAGCATGATGGATGCCTCCTTCCAACACACGCAGTTGTCTCTGACACGATCCCCCCACCCAGGGGCACACAGGAGCTCGGAACCCAGGGGCTTCTGGCTCCCCCCCACCCCTCCTCCACCTTCCAGCACAGCCTGCAGACCCTGAGGCGTGGAGCAATGTGTAAGCCTGCCTTCCTCTTGACCTGTTGATTTCCGACTAAGGCTGCCGGCCCTTCCTCCCTGGAGTGAGAGCTGACCCACACTTTGGGGGCCGTATGGAATGGTCCTCCATCCAAGGGGCTTTGGGAAACCCCTTTCCCTAGTGGCCCCAAGCCCGGTAATCAGAAGCAATCAGACCCAGCTGTCCAGCTAATCGGTATGAAATAGGTTTCCTTCCTTGCAGAAATCAACAAAGTTTAAAATAGATGGGATTGTAATCGGAAACGAAGCTATAGAGTTGTATGTGATGTAACAGTCAGGGGCATCCGCATGGAAAATATTAAGTACAAATGACATAGTTTAGGATCATGGGAGCCAGGAAAAGCAATGATTTCCTTGCTTATTAAGCATGTTTATGGGTCAGAGGGTAGCTGAGTGGGACCATCACTTCCGGAAGTGAAACCTCCCAACTCTAAGAAGAGAAGAACAACAAAGATGGAGAGAAAAGAGGAGGGAGGGAGAGAGAGAGAGAGAGAGAGAGAGAGAGAGAGAGAGAGAGAGAGAGAGAGAGAGAGAGAGAATAACGCACATGTAGAAGAGAAGCTGAGAGAGAAAGGCTCTGAATTCTGTGCAGTTGGAGATGAGTCAGTTGGCAAATCTCTATTTTTAGTTTTCAGACTCTGCTGTTGCCGTCTGCCTGGCATTAATTAATGTCACAGGCATGTCCCACACTAGATTCTGAAGGGCCTTGGTGTGCCATTCAGAGTAGAGGTGTTGATCATAAGCACAGGCTCTCTACAAGACCTTTCGGGCTGGTCTCTAACCAAAAAAAAAATTAGTGTCCAGAATGTCCTGCCCTCTGCCCTTGGCCTCTCCGGGTGTATCCGTTTGTCTCTTGGCTCCAGTCCTTAGCTGTCTGGCCATTGGCCAAGGGAGAACTACAATTGTTAGGCCTTGTTTTTCCAAAAGGAAAGGTTGTACAAGCTGAATTAGTGTGTGTTGGGGGCAGATGTTGGGTCATGGCTTGGAATAAGAAAGGGGGTCCCTGGGGGTATTTCTACCACTACTAGGAAGAAGAATGCTGACTTTGACAAAGTTAGTTTTATCCCCACCACCACCTTCTGTTTCAAGAGGTAAATCTGTTCTTCTAGAGAACCATATTAGAGCAGAAGAGGCCACTGGCATGGAGCCAAGCTTCGTGGGGAGACGGAGGCAATGGGCAAGTTGAGCGTAAGGCAGAAGGAAACAGGGAAGGCCAGGCGGCATCCAGTGTCAGAGATAGCTGCCTCTGTGTATTAACACTGCTATCAGGGCCAATGAAAACACAGGCGTCCCTCTACCGCTGTCCTGTTTGAAGGGACCACCCTTATGTTCTCTTCCGTGATCCAGAATACTTTCCTACCATCTAAGAGTGAGCTGGAACCATCCACGGTTGTGTCTTACATCTGTGGAGGCCAACACACAGGTTTCATCAGTGAATACACGCCCTCTGGATGGCCACTCTGATCCCGGCCTCTGGTGAACTCTTCGGAGTGGGATGGGAGAGGCCCCTCCCCCTCCGTTGAGTGAAGGAATTTGGAGAGTCCAGGGACTCTGTTGACCGCCCACCACCGGTTTCATTTCCGGGCCCTGGGGAAGAATGACCTTCCCTAACCCTCCGAAGTCTCGGAGAACAATGGACAAATGGAGGGTGTGAGCCGTTCTAGTCTGGCACTCAGATGGCTGCGTCGGGGATCCTGACTCGTGTGTTCGGATCCCCTAGGCAACCCCAAGTTCTCTAGCCACTTTCCCACAGTCCTCCTCTGGAGCCCTTTCAGTCTAGGGGAAGGGCCCAGATGGAAGCTGTAGGCCGGGGAGCACTGTCCACGGAGGGGGGGAGCAGAGGAAGGGTCTCCATTGGTCCTGAAAGTCCCTAGTCCTTTCTAGGCTGGCCGTACTGGTGACCACAGATATGTGGTTCCATCTTGCCAGAGTGAACAGGAAAGTAACTTTCAGGCCCCTGGCCCCTGCTGGAGGTCTGACCACAGCATGCCTCTGGCAACTCCGTTGAGAGCTCAGTGACTTCCTCGGGGCCCTGGCTGTCTTTGTTCCATAGGGTTTAACCCATGCAACAAAGATTGGGTAAAAACTTGAGTTCCCAGAAGGAGAGTCTCATCAGGGTTGGTGGCGTCAGGGAAGGGTGGCACTGTATGCATTTACATCATCTTTGTGACTTGCCTGAAGGGCAGGGCGGGGGGGGGGTGCCCACCCAGCGTGACTTCACGGCGGGGAAGGACTCAGAACCCTACGTTTGTAAGTTTTAGATTTTATCCGGTACTGTACTCCATAACGTATCCGCTGGTCTTAACCGCACAATTTCTCTCCGCCGCATTTATTTACCAATAGCGTTCCTGCTCCCCCAGTGTACGAAGCCTGACCTGGCAAAGCCCTGATCAGGTGCAGAGCTGACACCCTCCCTAGCCACCACACACGGCCCGTGCCCAAGCTTGTCGCGCGTTCCCCTCTCTTTTTTTTCCTTTCTCCTCGGGGTTCAAGTAGGCTGAGACGGCCTGAAACTTGCTATATAGCTGAGAACGACCTGGAAGTTCTGATTGCCCAGCCTCCACCTGGCGGTGCTGGGGTGACAGGTGTGCCAAGCAGTGCTGCGGGGCACCCGTGGTGAGCACCAGACAGACATTCTACCCCCCAAGACACACATCAGCGGCCCCCACCCCCCACCAGCTCCTTTAAACGGTGCCTCCGGGTAACCAGTGGAGCTGGGCTTGGTCTCAGGTGCTGTGCTCTGCCCCACACCGCATGATGCCAAGCTTAGACAAAGATTGTCATCAAGTAAGCCTAGTATTTGCTCTGAACTCTCTGAAGGGGTCCAGAGGATTGATGGCTGATGGACGGATCTGTAGGAAACCACGGCTTGGACTCCTGCTCCGCCGTGGACTGAAACAGCCTGGTCCACATTACCCACCCACCCCACCCCCCCTGCCAAGCTCCAACCCCCTGCCATGGCTCGCCCCTTCCTCTGCGACCTGCCGTGGGCCTCTCATCCTGTGAGGAGGCCCTAGAAACGGGCTCTGTTGATGAAAACCCGCGTGCTCCTCACCACAGGAAGCGCAGCCTCACATTCGCGGTGATAACTGCCAGGCTCCTCACAGAGCAGGAGGGGAGCACGGTCTAGCTTTGTACCTAGATTAGGAAGCACACGTTCTCGCTCCTCCCCCCTCAGCAATTCTCAGTTTGCCTCGCATGAAGCCCCCACCCCACCTTCCTATCCCAGAGCAGGAGGCAGGACATTTAGGAAACAGAGACCGAGTCCCCTTGAGCTTTGGAAGAACAGGATATTAGTAATGACTGGAGCCCTTGGGCCTCGGCCCCAGGTATCGTGTTTTTATAAAAATCTAGGTCACCCGGCTAAATGTTGAGTTTCAGTTAAACAGTGGATGTTGTCTTGATATAGACTTCTACGGAAGCTGCTTTTTCTAAAGAATTACTTGCTATTCCCTTGAAATGTAAATGTAACCAGGAGTCCTGCAGTCTCGTGTTTGTGACAACTAGTCGCTGAGGCCTAAGGGGTCCACCTCTTCACCTAGACGGAACTCTTGACCTTCAGATACAAATACAGAGAACCGTCTACATAGCTAGCTGTGCCCCATGCTGGACACTTTATGTCAGGAGTTTCTGTGTGCAACTGTCTCGGTGTCCATTGTCCAGAGGAGAAACTGAGGCTGGGGAGGGTGGTTTGGTGTGAATCACTGATCTGCCAGCTCCCAGCCGGTCTCGATGCATAGTACTCACTGGCAGTGGGTGGGTAAGCCGCGCCAACTTCAGAGAGGCAGTAATAACAGGTTAGCTTGGGAAAGCTCTGTGCAGAGATGGGGAGGGCCGTGTCAACACATGCAAATTATATGCAAATACACTTGGCCCTCCTGACAGGCTCACCTAGGTGGGCTACCCAGGAACACAATCTCCAGTTGTCCATGGGTTCCCAGCAGGGGCAAGGCTGATAGCTCCTGAGTTCCCTGTGCACGTGGGCTGGGGTAAATGCGCACACGTGTTCTCGTGTTCTCTCGGCGTGGATGCGGATGTGAGGGGGCTGATGTGGAGGTGGATAGCTGAGGCTGTGGGGCGTGGTGCTGTGTGCGTGACCTGCCACCTTGATCCGTGTATTCCCAGCAAGCCACATGGCTCCTGTTTCCTGGGATAACCTCCCCCAGAGCTCCGGCATTGCTTTATGGGGGGAAGGAAGCAGTCCCCCTTTCTGGTCCTCCTCTCCTGAGACAGCCCAGGACCAGAACCCTTGATAACCCTAACTACAGCACTACCATTAGCATTGGCAGGGATTGATGCCATACCTGGCCCTGGGGTGAACACCTTGTACTTAATTCTGCAGGCCTGGGGTTTGTGTTGCTCTAACTGAATACCCAGTACTTGATATTTGATATTACTTAAACACAGAGACACTGGGGAAGGTAGAGCCATTTGCTCACAATTTATGGCACCTTAAGCAGAGATTCGACTCCAGAACTGCTCTGTGGTTTGGCCAGGCATCTCATCATGGAGGAGCAGGGGAGTGTGGCATGCTGCACCCTGGCATGGTCTACCACAGAAAGAAGGCTCCATGGGAGTTTGTAATACTTGTGACAAAGGTTTTCTGGGATCCGTGCTTTTAGAGTTGATAGAGTTGGCCTCTAATGTTGTTCTCAGTAACATCCTATGTTGGGAGATCTTTCAAAGACAGGAAGCTGGCTTTCTGACTATCTGT